ACCTAGGGGCTCCGTCCGGTCAGGCCCCTGCACCAGAGCAGACAGGACCTGTGGAGGGCAGCAGTTGCCTTTCCACTCCGAAGTAAGGAAGCATTCACCACTTCTGTTGAAAACAGGCACATTTGTCAATAGCTATTGCCTCTTTTGCTCCCTTTTGATGGCTGAGTTTTCAGAACCAACCCAGCCATCTACATTTTCATTAAGGTGTCTAGCACTACGCTGTTGGATAGGCATATTTATTTTCATAAGAAAGATCTCTGTCAAAATCCCTCAGGCAGCGCATAAACTCTCCTGAGAGGAAATGCCACTGGTACCGATACTGCCACTCACTAGCTTCTCTCAGTCACTTGGAGGACTGGCCCTGGCCAGATAGGAGGAAGGCTGTGTTTGGGGGAGGATGAGATGAGAGGAAGTAGGATACATATCACTTAATTCTGGGTGGATTAAAAAATAAATTCCACATCCTAGAGCAAAAATACTTCATTTTGTCCAATCTGAAAATGTGACTTCACCCCAGGCATAGATAGATGCTTTAATAAGCTGGTAATCCTTTTATTACTATAATCAACCTTCTAATGTACCTTCACATGCAATTGTACTGGCCTGTGATGTTCCAGTGCCTCTGGACCCACAGGACTCCAGTGGAAATCTGTCTGTGAACCTATGACCCACCAGTGTGGGTGGGCTGTCCCTCAGAGAAGGGTAGCAAAATCAGCAGGGCATTGAGGCTGACATTTTTATTGATGCCATTATTGCCAGAGTATAAGCACAGATATGATGGATTTGTGTAGCCAACTCAGCATAAGAGGGACTCAACTGAAATTTGACTACAGACTTTAGGAAAAGATTCAGCCATGTCTGCATGGCTTGTTACTTTAGGGTAAAATGTCTCAAGTAGAGAGAAAACAGCTATGTATTTAATTTTATCTTCATTCTCTAATTCTCCTCTTCCGGCGGCAGGAGTGGGGGTCAAGGGGGAGGGGTGGGAACAGGTCATAAAATTGCTGTTGCACCACAACTGGTTTATGAAATGGAAATGGAGGGCAATTAAAGGGTTCTTTCTTGTATGATGTGATGTTCCTAATGGGAGATATTAAATACATATTTTTTTGTCTGTAGGGACTCTCACTTCATGCAAACACCCTGTTTTCTTCTACCCCAGGTATAGATATGCAAAGAAAACCCAACTTCTGTATTACTACATCACTTTTGTCTTACTTCTCCATCTTGGGGAATTGTCAAAGCTCTATTTCTTTTAGAAACAAATCTTTAAGTTAAAGAAATGCTTCATCTTGAAGCTCTACCATGAAAAGAAAGACTTCTGGTGAAAGCACACATTTCAAAGGGTGCCCTATATTTTGTGGTTGTGAAGTTACATCTGTAAAGGTTTGGGAAAATGGTATTATACTTATTAAAAAATGTGATGATGTGACACTTGAGCACATTTTCCCCTCAACAGGATCTGTTACTGGACTGGCCAATTATGCTGTAAAGCTGATGATAAAAAGCGCTCAGCTGCATTCCAGACACGTACTGGGAGTCAGAAGCACGAAGTTTCCTTTCTTTAATGTACTCAAGTAGATGGTCTGCATCTATCCAGAACATTTTTTTTTCTTTGTTTCTTAAAAGCTTCCCAATGCCTTAGGTAATGACACTTCACAGACGAGGTATAAGTTTCCTTTCTTTAATGTACTCAAGTAGATGGTCTGCATCTATCCAGAACATTTTTTTTTTCTTTGTTTCTTAAAAGCTTCCCAATGCCTTAGGTAATGACACTTCACAGACGAGGTATGTTGGTGAAGATCCCAAAGCCAAGGGTCTTCAGGGTCTACTGCCATCTACATCCAAGAACCAGGAACACATCATCCAATGCATCCTTCCCCAAACCTGCCTCTTATAATAAATCTGATCTCTTTAACTGACAGACATTTTTTCCAGCCCTTCACAGAGTCAAAGGAAGTTGCCATGAATAAATGGGCCTATTGTGCTAAAATCCCAATTAAATATAGAGCCTCTCAGGCTTAGAGGTTAGAAAAAGGGCATCACAGAGCCCTACCTCATTAATATGGCAGCCGGTGATAAAGGTAAGTGTCCATCCTCTGGCTTCTAGAAGCCTGCGCAGAGCTTTGTTGATTATTTTAAGGAGCTTTATTAATTACTTCTGAAGCAGTCCTGTATGAAATGGAGCCCATCGGCTCTCCGCTCATGGCCTCGCAGCTGTTAGAGGGAATGGCTGCACTGACGTCTTACCCTGGGGTGCCTGGCTAAGGGCAAGAGCTCACCCTGCATACGACGTAACTGTGGAAACGTGTCTTGTGTTCTCTTCTTCCTACCTACATGTCTTGATGTGGGGCTTAGCAGCAACAGACTCGATAAAGTGGTGACAAAGTATTTGGGATGTCACAAAAGACAGGAGACTGTTTTCATAAAATGAATTGTCCTTTTTTCCATGTGCACATGCACACACACACTCAGGCACACTCACACATACACCCACACACGTTATTAAGCTGAAAGGAAAATATAGAGTTATAAAAGACTTACAAAATTCGTACTTTTATAACAAAATATTTTTAAAACACCTGCCATTTCTAGATATTAAAAAATACAATATTTTCTTCCTTGTCAAATAGATATCCCCTTCCTAGGGGTAGTCTCCTTAATAAATCTAAAGAATCTGTCTACTTACCATATTTGTCAATCGGTGAGTACTGAAGGCTTCTCTTCATCTCCTCCGAAGACAAACCTTGAGAGGAAGATTGCCCAGTACTGGAAAATTAATGAGACACACAGTTTCAGACTGTGGTGATTTGCTAATAACATTTTTATAAAACAGAATTTATTCATTCTGCATAGATCCCAGAGAAATGGCAAAGTGATACAAAGGTGTTTTTATCTCACAAGTGACTAGTTGGGGAAAAGGTTAGAATTATTTGGAATAAGTCAGATTTAGGTGTGAGCCTTGGCTCTTCCACATGGGTAACAATTCCTAGCAGTATAAAGTTGGGCATGTCACCCGTTCTGAGCCTCAGTTTACTTATCTGTAAAAGGGGAAAACAACATAAGTAATTTCCAGTTTGTTTTAATGATTAAATATAAATAAAAAGCGTTGAATCTAAATCTGGGTTAATATGCTTGCAATCCTTAAGTAAAAAGAACTAAGAACAATAACATTATTATCATATTAATAATCAATATAAATGAAACACATTCCAAGAAATATTATTATTATATTGCTATTACTATAATGATAATTATAAGGTATAGTGATATTTATTCCATGATTCCTGTGTGCTAAGCATTTACATACAATCATCCCATTTGATCCGTATCACTATGATATCATTTGTCCCATTTTACAGATGAGAAAACTGAGGCTGAAATAATTAAGTAACTTGTCATGCAGGTTTGATAAATGGCTCATCTAGAATTCAAACCCAAGTCTTTTAGATTGCAAAGTCTTTGTGCTTATCCACTACTCAAATATGAATTTCTTCCTGATTCCTGCTCATCATTGATTCTTCTCTTTCTCCTAACTCCTCCTACACTTTTACCATTTTGGTTAATGCGGTCATTTCGTTTCTAGTTCATCAGATTCAAAGTCTGAAGTCATCGAAACCTGCATCTTAATATCTAATCACATCTGTCAGTTAATTATATGTCTGCAACCTTTCTTGCATCCATGCAACCTGTGCCATCCTCAAATGAGTTAGCTACCCTAGTTACCCGCAGAACTGCCGTCCCTGTTTCCATGGAAGAACTCTTACTTCCCCCAGCCCACATCATTCAGCTACTTAGGCCAAAATTCTCAGACTCATCCTTGGTACTGTTATGTCTCTCATGCAATTCAAGTCTTCTTAGCTCTGACTCCAAAATACAATCCTAATCCACCTATCTCTCCTCCTTCAAGGTCTAAGCCATGTAATCTTTTTCTTGTCTGGACCTCTGCAATTTCCCTCCTGATTGATCTCCCTGCTTTCACTCCTGTACCCATATAATCATTTCTTTGTATATTATTGATGGAGTTTGGATGTGTTGTCCCCTCCAAACCTCATGTGGAAATCTGATCTCCAATGTGGCAGTGCTGGAAA